CTCAGCCCTGTGGAGAGGGGACACCTTTGCTGACTTTTTGATCTGAGGCCACTGGTAGGAAGGGACCAGGGAAGCATGTGGCTTGCTGGAAGTCAGCAAGGCTGCTGCATCTTGCAGGACATGTGAGGTACGTGAGATTTCTTGGGGATTTGTCTGTCATCAGACACTTCAGGGTGGAGCCTAAAAGATAATACATTATCCAGTGTTTGTTTCAGCTAGAGGGAGATGATATGCCTTTATAGTACGTGTGTGTGTGTGTGTGTGTATGTGTGTGTGTGTGTGTGGCCTCACACACGTGCCATGTTCCCTGTCACATTCACGTCCCTGTCATGCTGTGAAGTTGGCTTCATTCATTCAGGACCACTGGCACCATTTTGTTTCGGGAAAGTAGTTTAAAAACCCAAATTAAATATTTTTCCACAAATTAAATGCCTTCCTAAGAATAGCAGTGATGATGTAATGCTTGTTATAGGAAACACAAATGAGAATGAGAACTTTGTTCACTTGCCTGCGGTTATGCTTACGACTTTATAAGGACCAACTGTGGATGATTTTGTTGTGTTTCCTTTTGGCCTCTGCCACGTAGATAATGGATATGCTGTTCTGCACACTGTCATATTGTAGCGCCTACTTGATTATATTTTCCCCTACTTTTAAAATCTGTATGATCTTCTGTCCCCCTTTTTCGTTGTGGGCTAAATTTGATCAAAATTAATTAACTTCTTTAAAAATTAATTCAGCAAACATTTGTGGACTTCCTGCCAAGGCTGCTGGTAGATACCATGATGCACACAGGTTGGGCAAGTGGGGAGAAAAAAACTAACAAGCAAGAATTGTGCAGTGCGTAGGGAGGGTGGAAAAGGACAGGGAGTAGAAGCCACTCTGCCGTTTGCACGACCTCAGCCAAACTTCTTTTCTTTGAACCTCATTTTCTTATCTATAAAGTAGAGATCATATTACCTGCTTTACAAGAGTTATCAAGGATTAAACCCAGCATTGCACATGATACCCACCGTTTTTCAGTGCTTGCTGTATGAAGAAACCCCACTTTCCTCTACCTACCCCTTCCTCCCTCCCTCCCCTCCTCCCTCCTCCTCCTTCCTTCTCTTTCTTTAGTACTGAGGATTGAACCCAAGGTCTCCACACAGAGCTATATCCCTAGCTCCCTTTTTAAAAATTTTGAGTCAGAGTCTCACTAAGTCTCTCAGACTAGGCTTGCACTTGGAATCCTCCTGCCTCAGACTCCCAGAATGCTGGGGTTACAGCCATGTACCACTATTCCCAGGTATGTAGAGTTTTTGTTTTTGCTTTCTGGTGCTGGGGATGGAACACAGGCCCTTGTACGTGTCAGGCAAGTGCTGTACCACTGAACTACATACACCCCAGTCCCTAACCTCCCCCCACACTTGTCTTAGTCACAGAATCCTCCCTCCCTAATGGACCCCATTTTTACCCAGAGAGACCTGGGTTTTTTGTTGTTTGTTCCCATTGAGTACTTTGGTAAATGAAGAAGTCCACTTGAAACACTTGACAGACAGGCAAAGGCCACTGGCTCCTTTTGAAGGTGGTTGCTTCAGGGCATCATCTGGAGCTTTTGGGTTGCTATAGGGACCTTGAAAACTGAGGGCAAGGGTAAAATAATTCAGTGACAAATGGGATTTCTGAGGCTGTGGTGGGAAAAAGAAACTGGAAAGAGAAAGGGAGGCATCTGGCGTGGAAGAAACTTTAAAGGAAGAACATAAATATTTAGAGAGGTTTTTATAGTTTTGCATATGTTGTGTGGAACACCCTGTCTTGTCCGAAGGCCTGGTGTTAAGACCACCTCCGGGGAATGTGGCTGGTTTCAGGGAAGGGCTTTGGGGGAAGCACAGAGACCCCTGAGCAGTGGGGGGAACAGAGTCAGGCAGAGCATAACCTGACCCTCAGCACCAGACGCCGTCCCATCAGTCTTCTCTGGGAATCTGGGTACCCACGCCTTGCCTGTCCCTTTTTGCCACCATCAAGCTCTACTACTCTGCTACTCTGCCCCAGCCTCTACTACATCATCCACAAACTCTGCTGCGCTCCCTGAAGTCCTCCCTGGGCCTGGCAAGGTGTGACCTACCTTGTCCAGCTCACAGCAGACTCTTGTTCATCCTTCAGACTCCCTAAGCAAACTGTGCCCTGAAAATGCCCCCAGATGGCTCGGCAGACCTTTGAACTTTCTTCAATAGCTTGGTTTTAGCTTTTGTTAGCTTCCCTCCCGCTGTGCTTTTTAACACATAGAACATAGAAACACATTAAGATACACTCCAACCAGGGGTTCTCACGTGTGCATAACAGTGAGCAACAGGCTGGGTGCCCTTCCTCATTTGATACTGGCAGCGTCCTGGGATGCGTAGTTAACGCAGTTACTGCCATTTCACAGGTGAGGAGACTGAGGTTCGAAGGGCCTAAGTATCAAGACAGAACTCCCATACCTGCACAGGCCCTTCCCTCAGACGGTGAACCCGTGGGCACAGAGGCGGCTATGGGCACAGCTCTCAACAGCTCACTGCAGCGGCGGTGCCCCCTCCCTTCGCGTCTGGATCCATCCACCTTTGGAGTCATCTAAAGGGTCTTAATTTCCTCACCAAAGGAAGGCACTGGGTTCAGACTCTGAGCCAGACCTGAAGTGTTTTGGTGCCCTGGGACCCTGCCTCCCAGAGGGTGGAGCCACCCATTGAGAAAGATCAGGAATACCCCCAGAGAGTCTTCCTGTCTCAGGAAGATTTTGCCACAGATTTCCTTGGCAGAGTGATAACAGGACCAGTGTGCTTCCCCGTGCAGATGCAAGCCCGGGTCCCAGTCTGCCCCTCAGGTTCTGCCCGCCACTGCTGCATTCCAGAGGGAATGAAGTGGGATGACTGATGGTCACAAGGCTGGTGACACAAGGCTGAGGAGGCAGAAGAACTGGTTTTTCCCCCCAGGCCTCTGAGTGGCAATTTATAAAGGATAGAAAGATGTCAGGACTTGTTGACCTTGTTGAATCTCGGGGAAAACAAATACCAGCAAGAGTCACTGACATTCTTCCTGCCATTTAGTGCTTCCAGGAGGACACTTAGCATCACAGTGGGACACAGAAGCCACAAATGAAATTTTCACTGCATTCAAATTGTTTGACCAAGCCACACTTTTGGGGGGCATGTGAGAGCGTCCCACCCACTCTGCCCTCCCTCACCTGTGTCATCTCCTGGGTGTCTGAGCCCACCCCCAAGCTGGAAGGGATTCAGTAAAGCAGGATATACTGTGTGGCTTCTTACGTCAGTGTGTGTGTAGGAGGTACTTAGGACCCGGACGGACGGTCGGTCAGTGGGCTCTCAGCTGCTCCCTAGCCGGTTTGTCAAGGTTCTAAATGAAGTGTTATCTGGTACTCAAGGGGCCGTATTTCAAGAGTTCCGAGAAGTGCCACTGTCCCCCCTTTTGTGGAATAACAGGAAAAGGCGTGTTTCAGGCACAAACAAGCCACTGAGGTCTCTGAGATTGGATCAAGCAAAATGTTTATTTCTATTCGCGGATTTCTCAAGAACCATGTTATGTGACAGGATGGGAGTTTGAACATTCTTGTCCCCAGCCTGGACTATTCTGGTAGCCCTGACCAGTCTTCCTACCACCCCAGCTCCCAGCTTCTTCCCTATGAAAAATACTGACATGGTTCACAGGTATAGACTTGCTGGTTCCATCTTTACTTCCCCACAGCCCCATCTCATCTTTGTGTGTAGGGGGGAGGAGGTTGTTTTTTGTTTTTAAGGGGGATAAAACTTGGGTCCTTGCCCTTGCAAGGCCGGCAGCACCACTGAGCTAAATCCCTGCCCCCCCATCTCATCTTTTGTCTTTTAAATGCTTTGGGTTTTCACAGGAGAGACTGTTGAATTTTCCGTGGAGGACAAATGATTCCCTGGATCTGCTTTCCTAGTTTCACTGTGTGTGCACCTGTCTGCCCTTAAGTGTAGCTGAGTCTCTTTCTGCTCAGGCCGTTCTGGGTAGGGGCAGGGTGGTGTCTGCCCCTCCCAGCTGGGAACCTAGTGCCCTTGAGTGCATTTTGGGGGGTTGTTTTGTTTTGTTTGAGACAAGGTCTTGCTGTATAACCCAGGGTGACCTCAAACTTGTGGGGAACCTGCCTGCCTCAGCCTCCTGAGTCCTGGGATTATAGACATGCGCCACCATGCCCGGCTCCCTTGAATGTGTTTTGAGGGTGCAGCCCAGCTCTTCACTTTGATGTTAGGAGATTGAGTATCTGAGTGGAATCACGCATGTCTGCTCTGTTTCTCTAGGTCTTTGTTTTCCAAATGTGAATTTGCCTAACACAGATATGGCCTCAGGTGGCACACAAACCTGGCACTGAAATTTTCTCCTTTGTTCATTTCCTCTTATGTCTAGGACCGTGATGGTGAGCCTTTTAGAGACTGAGTACTAAACTGCACCCCAAAACTCATTTATTGGAAAGTGCCAACACTGCAATTAAACCTGAACATTGAGGTTCTAGTTTAGAAAAAACAACTCATACATTAGCATCTGCTGTCTTAAGAGGAAAAACACAGTTAACACACATGCCATAGGTTCTCCACCACGGGTCTAACAGGATGTCACCATTTGGTGCTCGGCTGTTCTCAACACTGATAAGTGCCTGCCAGTCTCTTTTTAACCAATACAGAGCACCCCTTGGCCACAAAGAGTAGAGTCAATCACTGGCTAGAATGTAAAATCATTGTTCTTTTTTTTATAATTACCATCGATCACTGCATCAGGGCTGATTTCCCATTTATAAGCAGTAATAGAAAATGTGTTTTAATGCATTTCCAGAAGTTCAGTATACAGAAAGCTTGAACATAAGTTACAGTACAGTCAGCAGCCAGGACTGAAGAAATCACAAAGACGGGTGGTGGGGTGCTGAGGAGACCCTGTTCTGAAGGCCTTTTAGGAAGGGGAACAGGTATCCCAGTGAAGGATCTCCGCTCACAGCTTTCCCTTTCCCATTCCAGGCATGGATCCTGAAAAACTAGAGCGAATCCAGCTGCCAGTGCCAAATATGGCCGAGAAGACCACCTACAACCATCCGCTGGCCGAGAGACTCATCAGGATCATGAACAATGCTGCCCAGCCAGGTGCCAGCCTGGGGATGTCTGTCATGGGGCTGTGGAGTCAGAGGAACTGGGTCCCCAGACTGGGTCCACGCCCCAGTGTTCTGGACCTGGCCCTTCTAAGAATCCAGGCAAATCTCACTCCCTCTACCATGTCCTGCACCACCAGTACCCTGCTGCCTGCTACAACTATGTCTTTGAATGAGCCTTCTCTTTCTGTCCCCTACCCCTGAAAACATCTCTTCTGCTCCATGTCCAGCCCCTCCCTGCCAGTTTTTCCAGTTTCTTCAGCCCTCCTCTCTGGGTGAGCCAATGGGAATAGGGGTCGGCTTCTTGGCAGGGACTCGCAAAGGTAGCAGGATCTGGGGTGGAAGATCACATTCCCCTCCTTCAGACAATAGCAGGAGTCATTGCTGGAACATTGAAATAGAAGGCAGAGTTGGCTGACTGGGCCAGAGAGAGGATTGGCACAGGGGCAGGCAGGAGTAAGACTGCTCAGAGGCGCACGGAACCAAGGAGGCCTGGAAGTGATTAGCAGCTGTTAGTCACGGTGCCGGCAGAGGTCGTTGAGTTGAGACTGGTTAACATTTCCCAGTGTGGTTCCTGGGGTTTGTACCCTGCTTAAGAAGGCCTATTTTGTGTGCATGTAGCTTTTCATTTTTAAGCATAGATTCACTCTTCTCATCTGTTTCACCCTGACTTTTAGGATATTAACAAAGGGCAAGCAGGAGAGTTGTGTGGAGCTTTCCCCAGTAGCCCATTCTGGTCCCTGATGTCTCCATTTTCAGAGGCATGGCTCTTTTCTTGCCAAGATCTTGCCTTGAAATAAGCTTAAAGATTCACAGAAGATTTGCATAAGAGCGGTTCCCTAAGCAGGTGCAGATACCTCTATGAAAGATGGCAGATGTAGGTTTGGCATGCAGAGCACCTGAAGTCTGCCGCTTCCCCAGTTGGGAGGCCCTAGGCAAGTCACTTCACTTTTCTAAGTGTCATTTTATGAGGCAGCCATTGCAAGGAGTTTTTATAGAGGTTTCTTGAGAAGGTGTATGTAAAGCACCTGGCACCATGCCTGGCTCACAGCAGGTTAGCATAGCAAGCTGTGTTAGTCAGAGCTGGGTTACAGTTAATAGAGACCTACCTCAGACTACTATAAACAGTACAAGTAGAAACAAAGCTGCGTTGGCTGGTAAAGTCTGTAAGGGTCTGGCCTCAGGCACATCTAGATCTCGAGGGTCAAGTGTTTTCAAGACTGTTTGGACTCTGCTGCCTTCTAAGTTGGCAAGGCAACCTCCAGCAGCTCCAGCTGTCCTCTCTTCTGGGGTTCTGCATGTGCTCTGTGCCAGACAGTTTGTAAGGGAGATCTCAAAGCTCTGTTTGCAGAGTACTTCATGGAGACTGAAAACACTGGCCAGGTGAGGAGAGGTGGCTGCAGTGGATTGTGATGCCTGTGCCCCTCAGCGCCGACCAGTGTTTCTGTTCTCTCTGTGCCCAGTGCAAGGACAGATTCTCTTGCTCAGCAGTCCCTGCTTCCAGCTTAGCCATAGAATTGAACTTCACTCCCTGACTGACTCTTCACCTGTCCCCACCCAATCACTGCCACCCCAAGAATGTAACACCCTGCCCAGCCTGGGTGATGTGCCTACCCCTGGAAGGGGGACCAGTACCCCTAAAATCACATGGCCAGGGGGTGCTGTGGGTTCCTCAGAGGAAAGAGGGGTGTCATTCCTGGAGATGGGGAAAGTGCTAGACAGAAGCAACAGTGGTCCGCAGAGGGCTACTTCCTAGGCCCTTGGAACACTTGGCCTCTTTTCCATCTCCCCTCTCCCTGATAAAGGGACTTCAGGGACCTATTTGGTATGACTTAGTGATACAATAAGTGACACTAACAACTTGGAGGCGAGTTTTATTTGGGCTCATGGTTTTTAGCGGTTTCAGTCCATAGTCAGCTGGCTCCAAGGCAGGAAGGACATGGTGGGAGGGTCTGGCAGAAGACAGCTGCTCAAGTCATGGCAGCCAGGAAGCAGAGAGAGCAAAAGAGCCAAGAAGAGAAACACCCTTCCGGGTCACATACCCAATGACCACCTCTTCTGACCAGACCTCGCCTCCTAACAACAAATCAGCTGTATCACCCCATGATTTACTTACCTTCCAAAGCCCTGCCTGTGGGCATGTGAGGCCTTGGGGGTACATTCCCGGTATAATCAGCTTTTTTGGGAGCGTTGGATTATAATTGAAGGGGAAGGAGGGTGGCATATGGGGCCTCCTCTGCTCCCTCTGAATGGGGCCTTGACTAGTCTGCTGTCAGGCCTGATAGCCTCACAGCAGGACAGGACAGAGCCTGTGTTCCAGGGCACTGTTCTGGAACTACGAGGCTGACCCTGCCGTGTTCCACAGATGGGAAGATCCGTTTGGCCACACTGGAGCTGAGCTGCCTGCTCCTGAAGCAGCAAGTCCTGACCAGTTCCAGCTGTATCATAAAGGATGTGCACCTGGCCTGCCTGGAGGTGAGGCCCTTCCCTTCCCGCTTCCTGTGGGCCCAGAGAGCAGATGAGGTCAAGAAGGGTCCAGATTGGGGCCCCGCTCCATTCCACTGGTCCAGAAGGAAGTTCCCTTCAGTTGAGATTCACTTGAAGAAACAATCCACTTACCCTGTGGATTTTAGTAGCTTGTTACGATTATTTGGTTCTTTTTTTGCGCCCAGGATTTTTAAGTTGTTCCTTTTGTATTGTGAAACTTTTATGCATACGCAAATATACACATTACTTACAGCTTTGTGCTAAAATATACATTTATTAAGTTTTGATAGTTTGTATTATCCACCTGCCCTATTTCTTTGTTTTTAAAGAAAAGTAAGTATAAGGAAGTAAAAAGTAACAGCTATAGTGGACGCTTGGGTGTGTCTGTGCAGGTATACTCACATAAATGCATACACACACTTATAAAAGAATTCTGTTTTGTAAAAGTGGAGTCAGATTGACCATCTCTGATGACTTATTCACCCCCTAACCCACACATTTAATGGAGCATTAATAGGCTTTCCATGTTATCACGTTGAATTGCCTGCCCTTTGTCAATATGAGTTCTCCCTTCCTCCTGCTCTCATTAGAGACTGTTTTATATATTAAGGATATCAGCCCAACATTTGTTTCACATGTACTCTGTTTGCAGAATTGGTAACTAGCCCGACCTGCTGGCCTCAATAAGACTATGCTCTTTCTTTTAACAGGGTGCGAGAGAAGAGAGTGTCCACCTGGTGCGGCATTTCTATAAGGTGACTGGCAGCCTGCGGTGTCTTGTAGAAGGGGGACACTAGAAGGTTACATGCCTTCAGTTTTTCTTTATATCTGTGATCATTGAATAAAAATGCTTGATTTCATAATCTCCAGAGCAGTGATCTCTGAGCATTTTTCCACCCCCCCTGACACAGAGCATTGAACCCAGGGCATTTACAACCCTTGTTTATTTTACTTTTTATTTCGAGACAGGGTCATACAAAGTGCTCAAGCTGAGCTTGAATTTACAGTCCTCCTTCCTCAGCCTTTCAGCGTGCTAGGGTTACAGATGTGTGCCACAATGCCCAGCTAATGTTGTCTGAACTTTCCATGCTCTTATTGTAAAATTTTTGAGGACTCCTAGTTTATGACAGTTTATTCACCAGTTACTTATGAGTATTTATGAGTTTAGGTATAAATCTCAAATCATATACATATGACTGAGTGATGTCTGAGGAACTTACGTTCATGAGTTACATATACTAATACATGTAAACTTACTTGTGAATGATTTATTATTTTATATACAGGTATACTAAGAAACCTCAGGAGGGCCTCTAAACTTGTATATTAGGTATAGGGAGATTTTATAAAGTACTTCCATGACTTCCAGAATCTGAAGGATTTGTAGAGATTTATCTTCTGTTCCAGATGATTCTAAAATGTCTAATTGTGTGCGCGCGCACGTGTGTGTGTGTGTGTGTGTGTGTGTGTGTGTTTGGCATAATCCTGAGAATCAAGCCCAGGACCTGGCGCATGCTAGGCAAGGATTCTCACTGAGGTACTCAGCCCAGTTTTGCTTAGCTCATAAGGCATATGGCCATTAGGGCTGCTGTAACAAAATACTGTCAACTGGCGGCTGACAAGCAGTGGAGATTTATGTCTCAGAGAGCCAGAGACTAGGAGGTCCCAGATCTAGACAGATTCTACTTTCTCACAAATGACGTCTTCACACTGTGTCCTCACATGATGGGAGGGGAGACAGTCTCTGGGGCCTCTTTATAAGGTCACCTCATGATCTAATCACCCCTAAAAGACCCCCACATAGCCATCACCCTAGGGGTTGGGATTTTGACATACAGATTTGGGGGAGTCATAAAATTCAGACTTTACCTTTAGGCAAGGCTTATCATTATCAGCCATGGTGGAGTAATCCATTTGTCAGACAGTCTTAGTGATTTTCTGAATTTTGGTCTGTGTATCTGATCTCAGATCTTAGTGATGATTCTCCCTTAAAGAGGCTAATGCAGACCCTCCTAGGCAAGGGAAAGTTGTCAGTGTTGCCACAAAGCTCTCACCTGTGCTTTCATTATTTGGATTTTTTTTTCTCAGTTCAAATTTAATAAGACACTACAAAAGGTCACCGAATGGGCAGATGCCCCGCTACTGGTGCATCGTACATTATCAGATGGTATTTGTGTTCTTTTTAAACTGCTGTTTCTTTCAAGAATCTTTTTAAGCTGCAACCCATTATTGTCAGTGTTTATTGAGGTAAAACCAGGTCCTGTAATCTGAAAATCCACCTCGAAAGGTTCCACTGACCCTGTCCAGTTACAATAGTGATTGCCCAGACAAGGGTGGTCCCTGTTGGCCCCCACGCGCTGAGTAGGAAGTTGTGCCTTCTAGCAAGCCCGGAACAAAGTAGAAACCCCATAGTTGAGTAGTCTTTGACTCTTTCCAGGATTGCTGCTCAAAGTTCTTTTCCCCCTTCATTCGCCAAAGCTTTTAGGTTGTAAAACCAGAAAGATGTAGAGGTAGGCATTTTCTCTGAGGTTGATTCTCTTCCACTAACAAAAGGAGAGGTGTTTAAACTTCATTTCCCTTCTCCCATTCAGATTTCTGTCTTGCTTTTATCCTATTATAGGTGGCCAAGTTAGACAGAAATTAATAGACAGACAGGGATAGGCCCTCAAGAAAGCCAGTGCAAAAGATGAGAGCACAACAGAACTGTGGCTAGAGGCGCTTCTGTTGAAGGCCAGGCCTCAAGATTAAGATGCAGTGACCAGGCCTACATGCTTCCCTGAGGGATAAACAGTAACTTGAGATTGTACTGTGATTGGTATCAGCTGGTTCAGTAAAGTCCAGATGGACATCAGTCACCCAAGTGGGTGACCAAGCATCTGGACCCATCCCTGCCCAAAATGCCTTTGTTCTCTCCATGTACTCTTGCTACTTGACTTGCTTCCCTATTAGATCAGTTAGCTAAGCAGCTATACTTGTAACCCCATAGGTTGATTATTGTTTGACCCGTGTTATACCCACATTGTGACTTTGCTATATATATTAGCCCTGACAAAGGCCTTGGTGGCAACCCACTTTTGGGACCCTCTCCTGTCTCTCAGGAGCTATTTCTCAATAAATCTTTCCTCATCTTAACCTCTGTTGTTCCTTGGAATTCATTCTTTGCTTTCCAGGGACACGAATGCAGCATATCTGACATCTCGCAGGTTGGGGGGTGTATTTCCCCTTTATCACTGTAACACCTACACCCTAAGTATAATGTCTCTGAAGCTCTTGGATGTTCTCAGTTCTGTTGGTGCCATGCAAGAATCTTCAAGTTCATCTGTAGTTCTAACAACTGGAAAAATATAAAACAGATCTTTGATCTATGCCTTTTTCCACCTTGACTGTGTGTGTGTGTGGTTGTGTGTGTGTGTCCATGTCCCAGGACATGGGAGGCGGGACAGTTCCAGCAGTCATCGTCCAACAGAGATGGCAGTGACAGTGGGCACTAACATCTCTAGCTCTGAGCAGCAGACTCCACACTGCATTTCATGTACATTAACTCATTCTACAGTGAATGACCCCACAACATGGGCCTGTGCTTTTGTTTGTTTGTTTGTTTGTTTGTTTTCCCATCCTTGCAGTGAAACAGAGACCCTCTGAAGTAGGCTGGGGTTTTGTCCCAGGTTTATGTGTGTCAGCCCCAAGTTTCCACCTCTGGCACTGTTCTGAAGGGGTCCTCTTGGGCAGAGCCTCAGCCTGAAGACCTACATGACTCCAAATACTTGCTTCGAAAGCAAGAGGGAAAAGCCATATAATTTTATTTTTAAGCATTCTTAGCTATACTCTTCCTCCCAGAAATGTTGAACTTCTCATTTTTAAGATGATGACATAGCCAGCCTTTCCTATGTCTCCTGTCATTCTCACAAGTGGATGATATTAAGTACATAATTTTTAAACCAGGGGCTAAAACTGAGGCTTTTGCGCTGAGCTATACCTTCAGTGCTTTTTAAAATTTTTTATTTTAAGACGGGGTCTTCCTAAGTCACTAAATTCCCTGGGCTGGGCTTGAACATTCAGTCCTTCTGCCCCAGCCTCCCAGAGCGCTAGGTTTACAGGCATACTTTCTAATTAACTGCTTTGACAGAAGGCCTCTAACTCAATACGCTTTTTTTTAAAGGAAAAACATGTTGAATGGTGCAATTTGAGATTCAGTCTTTTATTTGAATGCGTGTTCGTGTTCACGTGTGTGTGTGTGTGTATGTGTGTGTGTGTATTTTACTTCCTGGTGACTTACGAGAACCCACTAACTAAAAACAGATGGCCCGAAAAGCCTAGAGCTAGCATTTGTAATACTGTGTTTATGGAAAAAAATATGAATAATATCATCCTCCCTTCCTTTGCTTTTAGGGGGAAGAAATTTTTTTGGACATGTTTGAAGATGAGTACAGGAGCATGACAGTAAGTAAGGTTTGGGGCTCACCTGTGTGCCTGCCAAACCCACAGAGCCTCTGTCTGACTCTGAGTGGCAAAGATTGGTGGGGGAGTAAATTTAAAATGGAGCCTTTGGATCCCCATGATCACTAAAATTTCAGGTTACTTTCATTTCCCCTGTTCTGTGTCTGTAAGATGGATCAGAAAGGTTCGCTTTGGTTTGAATTGTGTGGGGGCGGGGTGCCTTTTAGCTGAGGACGTGCCGCCTGCCAGGAGTGTAAAACACATTGTATATATTAAATCTGTTAGTCTTCGTATCACCCAAAGGCTAATGTCATTGCCTCCTTTTTGCTGATGAGGAAAATGGAAGTCAGAGGTCGAGTAATGTCCCCAGATCTGTCTCAGCTGTTAGTGGCAGAGCCCCACTTCCACAGCGTAGCACCTCGCCCCCAGACCCCCTGCCTGACTCCCTGTGTCGAGCTGCCTCCTTCCTTGCCCTTCCGCCAGAAAGTGCTGGTGTGCCGCATGCTGCGTGCCGTTGCCCACACAGGTCCCCTCCCTCCAGCAGGTGCTAGGCTCAGGAGATCAGGGCTTTCTGTCTTGTTGTTCCTCTCTGCACCTCCAGCACCTATCTCTGAGCAGGCACTCAATAAAGAGATGATAGATTACCCTTCCATGGACATTACTCACCAAAGTGTGAAGTGATTTGGGACATTTATAATGAACCTAAACATTTAAAGTGTCAAAAAGAAAAGGGCAGGCAGCTCAGCTAAGTGGCTCCCTGGCTTCCTAGCCTGCTTACTGGGTCTGGACAGCAGAGCCCTCTCCACACTCTTGTCACCACATACCTGAGGCCTCTGGGGAGGGAGCCTTTTCCAGGCTCCCGAAGAGAGCCGTGTGCATTGGCCGGGCCTCCTTGTGACACCTGCGCTGCTGTGAAGCGTCCCTTGCTGCCATCGATGCGCTCAGCCCCTTTCTCCAGCCCTTCAGAAGGCAGCTCAGACTTCCACTCTTCAGGCCATTCATCAGAGTGCAGTGGATTAGAGGTCATTTGCCATTTTATTCCCCCATCCCCCTTCTGCAGTGTAATCCCCCACAGCGGGGTTTTGTTTGGAAGCGTAGCATTCACGTGCCATTTGGAATGCGGCAATGCCCAGTCTCCTAAGCCCCTGCTCTTGCTTTTGTTTGCTTACTAATTGTGTGACCTTGGGCAGGTTGCTTAAATTCTGAGCCTTGCTGTTTTTCACCTATACATTGGGGCCCGTTCCCCATTGCTGCCCAGGCGC